GGGGTCCTTGTGCCTACGTATCTTTACTTAAAAGAAGTAAAGAATCAGATCTGTCGTAGTTCGGCCTACGGTTAACTGGTGTTTTTATGGATGATGCTAACATACGCATTCTAGCAGTTAGGTGTATTGTAGCTCACTTGTAGAGTTTTAGGCGTTACCTGTTTGCGGTAGAACGGACATAACATATCCTTTTGAAAAGAGATAGTTTTCGTCATCGAGGCAAGATGTCACATTTGATTTGTGGAAGTTAATTTTAGGGATGAAATAGGTCCTTGAATAGTAACCCCTTGCGGGTAATATCCAATTCCTTATCTCAAAATATTTATTGTGAAAATGGTGTGGCGAATACAATCACATCTTCATATTGAAAGGCGAGTATCGAGACCACACACTCTAAAGTGAGTATCCTGACACTCGGAGAGGAAGAAGTCTGCACTCAATCCTCTTTCTTTAGTTCAATACAAAGAGAACTTCATTCTCTTATTAAAGATGTTTTAATCTTGAATGGTAAGTGTTTTACAAGAGTGAACACTAAAGGTAATATCAAGCACTCGGGATAGGAGAAGGCCTTCGCCTAACCACTCCACAACCATCCAATTTTATTAGGAAAAGAGTTTTGAAAATGCACTTGGTACGAGACCAAGGTTTTTAGACTCAAGGAAACAAAAAGAAATTGAGAGAAGTTTTGAAAAGAAAGGGCGGTGAATAAAGCATGGTAGGTTGATGGCGATGTGCGAAGCGATCGACTTACAAAGGGGTATTTGAAAATGGCTTGATGATGAATCGAGGATTTGTTTGAAAATGGTTTAATCTACGCTAGTCCCTAGGGGTGCTCCTAGAAGACAAACCACAATCAAAGCAATACGAAAGCGTACATCAGAATGGGATAGGGGTACATGCAAATTACACAGGATTGCATGAAATAAAAGGTCTCATTGTCAGGTAGCCCAAGAGGAAGTCGTGTGTGTGCGAAGTGTCCTAAACTATGCCTTGAGTGAAAGTCAGACAAAACTTCAAGTTAGGGTTTCTGACAAAGCCCAAAGATCTGTCACTCGGACAAACAACCAACAGTCCACCAATTTAGGATTTTATGGTTTTGATAGTTATTATGTGTGTTTGAAAGAATGTGAATAAGAGAAGAAATGAATATGATATGAATATGAACAAGATATGAATTATATACAAGATATGAATTATATACAAGATATATAACAATATAAACAAGAAAATATTCACAATAATATATCAAGATAAATATTAACAAGTATATGAACAAGATAATATAATCAGGATAATATTGACTGAAAATAAAGCAGTTGTATATTGACGGAAAGTAAAGTTAGTGGTTAGTAGATTTATGAATTGAATTGAGAGGAAATGTAATACTAAACTGTCGTAGCTTGACTTATGACGAAAGTCATACTATATGAGGTCGCGTAAATCGATATCCATGCTAAAAATAAGACAAAGAAATGATATTGAAGATCATTCTCCAATTTAATCGTTTCGCACGGATAAAAGAAGGGTGAGATCTTGTCTTAATCATAAACTCGTGTTAATTAATCAAGGATAACCTCTCACGATCCCAAAGTATAGAAAAATGATCCAAATGATCATTTTCTACAGACTTGAAATAATGAAGGTTAAACAACCTTGAAAACTAACATTCGTGAATCCGAAGACTTCATAGATCGAGAAGATGAAATAAAATCGAGATTGAATAGAGAATGAAAAGAGAGAAAGAAATTGGTCTCAAACTAATTACTATTTATCAATAATTTGACTGATAATAATTTCGAGGTCTCTTTATCGATCCAAATGAAATAAAGTAAATAAAATCGAAAACAAAAAGATAATAAAATAAAATCAAAATATCTAACAAAGAAATTAACAAAAACTAATTGAGATTGTTGATGAAATGATTAACAACATTATTAGAAGTAATTATCAAAAAATAGTAACAAGAAGATGTTGGGATTATCAGTCGATGATGGGGATGTTAACTGATGTTCTTGTTGCAAGATTGAGGAGAATACTTTATATACATCAGGAAGGGGTTTGATCATGAGGATTTGGGACTTGATATTGTTGAAATGATCGTTTAAGCCCTTTAAGAAGCAGATAATATATTTCATGTCACGTTGTTTCTTGATGGTTTCATGTGCACCACATGTGCATGTTGGTAGAACTCTGAGAGTTTGCAGATCCTCCCAAAGAGTCTTGAGTTCATTGAAATAAGTGTAACAGCTTTGTCACCTTGTCGCATAGAATTGATGTGTTGAAGAAGATTTGATAACCTGAAGTGATCAGTTTTGGAGAAACGATTTTGGAGTTCTGTCTAAAGTTGTGCTGCGTTTTCCACTTAAATGGTGCTATGTGCGATATCTAGAGAAAGAGAGGCCGAAGTCCAAGCAAGAACGATGTTATTGCATCGTTCCCAACTTTCGAATAAAGGGTCATCCTCCGGCGGAGCTGTAATCTTGCCATTGATGAATTTGATCTTGTTCTTACTGAGAAGAGCACGCTTCATAGACCTGCTCCAAGATTCATAATTGTTTTTCGAGAGTGGCGGTGTAACAAGAATTATGTCTAGATTTTTAGCAGGATGCAGGTAATACAAGCTTGAATGATCAATGGCAGAATTCTTAGGTGTTGTAGTGTCGGTGTCGTTGGTGGTGGTATTGTTATTGGTGTTGTTGTTCTTATCTTTAATATCACTAACCATGATTGAAGATGGTGAAGAAGTTCAAGAATGAAAGGAGAAGGAAGACGAATAAGTGTGATGATTTTTACTCACCATAATAAAATTTGTATAAATATGCATTATTGAGCTTGAATGGCAAAACATAACTATCTATCCCAATTAGGATAAGAAAGCCTAACTACCTTAAGAACCAAATAACCAAAATAAAAATACAGCTTAATAAAACCACCAAACAAAACCTTAATCTATTTTGATATCTATCCATAGTTTTTTTTTTCATCCTTAATTGATGTTTTAAATTTTATGCACGTGCATTCCATTTCCTTACTCTGTTTTGTTTTATCTCTACAAGTAAATAACATACATGCTCATTTTCTCTATTTTACTCTTTAACGAGCTCTTTATCTTTTTTTATTAGAAAACTCTTTAACAATTAACAACACTAACGAACCATTAAGTAACGAACGAAACAACATGCACATTTAAGCTAAACAAAAACAAATTACGGCATATATTTATTATTTTGTGTGATAAAGTCCCAAGGTTCCATGCTAAAAAAACTAAAAATAGAAAACATGTATTGAAAAAACTGTTAAAATTTCAAGAAATCTTTATACAATTTTCAAAACAAAAGTTTATATTTAATACCTTTGGATGAGTTTTCCCAAAAAAAAAAAAAAACTCTCAACGTCAGGTTATGTGATCATTAATAACTTGTTCCCTTTCATTTACTATAAACATTAATAATCGTCACAAAAGACTAAAAATTGATACAGAAGTAGGTCCTTTACCATTAAAATGGTTGGTATTAATTCAATTCCATGGTTATTGACTCACCTACATAAGACCCCTAACCTTTACTCTTATTTATATCATCGTCGAAAACAGCATCAATCACCGAACAAAGCATGTCCTTTCGTTCTTTTCAGTTTCAAAGCCTAAGATTTTTACCAATGTCACTATAATAAGGTAAGTATATGTTCATTCGTAGAATGTCACAAGACACGTTTCTTCTAAATTCCAAAAATGTCCTTTTACTCAATTAGTGCAACAACAATATTCTAACATGTCAAAGGAGCTCTGATTTTGGTTCCAACCTTTTTTTGATGTATTAAAAATCAACAAGTTAAGAAAAATATCCAGACTTATAAGCTTTGGACACGTGTCTATTTTTGTCTAAGTTTTCACTTTTCAATAATGATTTTAGAATATAAATTCATATTTTTAATTTGTTTTTTAATGGAATTTTTAAAGAAATTGTGATATTGAATGAGCATGAAAATTTTATTTTTATTTTTTAATCAATAAAAAGATTATGATTGATTATATATAGAGCTATCTCCTATGGTTGTTCTATTTTAAAAAAATTCTGTCTTGGTAACAAATATAGCAGAGATATTTTTTAAAGATTTCAAATAAATAAAAAATCTATAAAATAATTAACCATTTTAATTTTCAATTCATTAAATATTGCACATTTCTAAAAACAAATTTGCTATTTTAAAATCTTAAAGAGTACGCTTGAAATATTCATTAAAATGCTAACAAATGTTTTAGAATCACTCTTTAATAACTTAAAATAATAACATTGTAACACATTGAAAAGAGATAACCTTAGCTATTTATATAATGATCCACTATATTACATCTTTCAATTACAAATTAAGGAAAAAAATTAACTTTATTAAATTATTGATATATTAATTTATAGTATTTAAATTAGATATATAAATTATTTAATTATCATAAAATCCTCACAAATCTTAACTCAACAAATATTGCTATATTTGATTTGGATGTTGACATTAGACTTTGAAGTCTCATCACGTTTCATACTCACATCACAGTTCAAACTCTTATGATTGTGTGGGTGAATATCAAGTACTTATGACAATTTGGCTACTTATAAAAAATAAAAATAAAACTTTAGAGTAAGTCTAATTTGATGAAATATGACGGACCCAAGTAAAACAAAATAGAATGAAATAAAGTTTCATTGTTTGGATCATTAAAATTGAATGGATGGAAATGAAATTGATTGGAATGAATTTCATTCTTCTCCAGTATGGGCGATATTGAGAATTTAACTCTGATATGCATTCATAAAAGAATGCATGTTTTAAATCCAAATATTCTAATCTTTTGCACTAAATTTGTTCTAAAGCCTCAAAAGGAAAACCAAAAAGGAAGCCATATATATAGTAGTAACAAACAAAGGAATTGTTTGAAAAAATAAAAAGTAAAAACTATATATATATCAAAATTAAACCTAAATGTTAATTATGTAAATTAACAATCATACCCCTGACGAAAGCCATCGAAACATTTCGGTAATCTCTTCACCAATTCTGTTACCGTCCACGTCATATTCAACCGGCTCAATTCTGCGACTACTTCCACCACCACCACCACCACTGAAGAACCTACCGGAGCTACGAAACGACGCCGTTCGCGACGATATAGAAGCCGAAAGTCTGTCCATGTACTCCTTCAGCCAGTATCCGCTTCCAGCATTTCCACCGACGGTTTCTAACGTTTCGTGTAACATTGAAGGATTCTCAGGTACCGGAATGTGAATATCTTTCTGATCTGAGGTGCTTCTACGGAGATCTTGAGTGAATGAAACTTCCGATGGCTCGTCTACATAATACTCGAATGATCCAATGGAATATGACCTTGCGTCGCCGACGGATTCGGGATTGGTTCCTCGCCGGCTCACGTTTCCTATTTCGATTCGGAAACTGTCGGAGGAAGTTGACGGAAGAATCTTTGCGAGGTCGGAATCAGAAGGAAATATGGAAGAGCGACAGAGCGGACACGAGAGATGTGAAAGGAGCCAGGTGTCAATGCATTCCGCGTGGAAAGCGTGCAAACAGAGAGGTAGAGAACGGAGGAGCTCGCTGTTGCGGAACTTTGACAAGCATACTGCACAGTCAGCGGCGATGACTGT